ACCCATGGGTGCTACAGGGTCCCTATAGGGGGGAGCACCCAGGGACCCCATGGATGTAGGAGGCAGCACCCAAGGGTGCTATGGGGACTCTATGAGGGTGCAGCATCCATAGGTGCTATGGGGGTCCCTATGGGGATCCCTATGGGGGGGGCAGCACCCAAAGGTGCTATGGGGGTCTCTATGGGGAGGGGGGCAGCACCCAAGGGTGCTATAGTCACCCCTATGGGTGTCCCTACCTGGGGGGCAGCACCCATGGGTGCTATGAGGGTCCCTAGGGGAGTCCCTATGTAAGGGGCAGCACCCCAGCCCCCCACAGATGTAGAGGGCAGCACCCAAAGGTGCTATGGGGGCCCCTATGGGGGCCCTGGGGGGGGGGGGGCAGCACCTATGGGTGCTCAGGAGTCCATATGGGGTCCCTCTGGGGGACAGTAGCACCCATGGGTGCTCCAGGGTCTCTATGGGGTCCCTATGGAGAGTGCAGCATCTATGGGTGCTGGGAGGGTTCCTAGGGGGAGGGCAGCACCCATGGGTGTCAGGGGGTCCCTATGTGGTCCCTATGGGGCTGGCAGCACCCATGGGTGCCGGGGGTGCCTATGAGGTTACTATGGGGTCCCACAGATGCTGGGGGTCCCTAGGGGGGCGTGTAGGTGGGCAGCAGCACCCATGGGTGCTGGGGGGTGCCTATGTGGTCCCTATGGGGCTGGCAGCACCCACGGGTGCTGGGGGGTCCCTACAAGGTCCCACGGGTGCTGGAGGTCCCTATGGGTCTGGCAGCACCCATGGGTGCCAGAGGTGCCTGTGGGGCTGGCAGCACCCATGGGTGCTGGGAGGTCTCTACAGGGTCCCTACAGGTAGAGCAGCACCCATAGGTGCTTGGGGGTCCCTACGAGGTCCCATGGGTGCCAGGGGGTCCCTATGGGTCTGGCAGCACCCATGGGTGCCGGGGGTGCCTGTGGGGTCCCAGGGGTGCGGGGGGCCACTAGGGGGGCGCGTAGGCGGGCGGCAGCACCCGGCGCGAGTTGGCCTGCACCCAGGGGTGCTCCAGCACGCCGCGCAGCGGGAGCCGCTCGGCCGGCCGGTGCCGCAGGAGGCGCCCGATGAGGTCGCGGGCGCCCTCCGACATGGAGGCCGGGAAGTGCAGGTCCACCTGGGGGGGAGGGGGGCGTTAGGGGGCCCCAGCGTCGGGGGGGGGCACTGGGTGCCCTGCCCGGCCGCCGGGGCCCTCCCGGACGCCGGGGCCCACCGTGGTGATGCGGCGGTACGTGTCCCCGTGCGAGGTGTCCCCATGTCCCCCCATCCCCACGTCCCTCCCGGACGCCAGGGCCCCTCTCCCGGACGCCGGGGCCCCTCTCCCGGACGCCGGGGCCCTCCCGGACGCCGGGGCCCTCTCCCGGACGCCGGGGCCCACCGTGGTGATGCGGCGGTACGTGTCCCCGTGCGAGGCGCTCTCGAAGGGCGGCCGCCCCACCAGCAGCTCGTAGGCCAGCACCCCCAGGCACCACAGGTCGACCTTCTCGTCGTGCGGCCGCCCCTCCACCATCTCGGGGGGCAGGTAGTCCAGGGTGCCGCACATGGTCCGGCGCCTGCGGGGAGCCGGGGGGCACCCAGTGCGTGGGGGGCACCCAGCGGGGACACCCATTGAGGAGGAGGAACCTCCCTTGGGGACCAGGAACCTCCCTTGGGGACGGGGACACCCATTGGAGACACCTCTTGGGGTCCAGGAACCCCCTTTGGGCACCAGGAACCTTCTGCTGGGGACAGGGCCACCCATTGGGGTGGGGACACCCATTGGGGACACCCATTGGGGTGGGGGACACCCACTGGGGACCAGGAACCTCCTATTGGGGACCAGGAACCTCCATTGAGGACCAGGACCCCCCTTGGGGTTCCTTAGGTGTCCCCTGGGACACCCTGAGGTGCCCCCAAGGTCTGTGACACCCTCGTGGTCCCCATGACCCCAGGATCTTCTCCAAGAGACCCCATGGGACCCCTGGACCTTGGGAGGTCCCTCATGGTCCTTCAGAGGTCCCCGAGCACCCCAAGGTGCCCCCGAGCACCCACCTGAGCGAGGGCGCGTGCACCGACCAGCCGAAGTCGGCGATCTTCAGCTCGCCCTTGAGGCCCATGAGCAGGTTCTCGGGCTTGATGTCCCGGTGGATGACCTTCTTGCGGTGGCAGTAGATCAGCGCGTCCGCCAGCTCCTCCATCACCTGCGCCCGGGGGACACGGCGGCGTGTCACCCGCGCCACCCTCAGCACCCCAAGGGCCCCAGGGGCACCCAAGGGCCCAGGTCCTTGGTGGAGCACGTCYAGGAGGTTCTCCAGAACCCCACGGTGAGAAGAAACGTGGGGTCAGGAGCACCCTAAAGGTGTCCCTAATGTCACCCTTGGGTCCCCAACTCCACGCTGACGTCAACATCACCCCCCCAACGGCACCCAAGGGCCCTTATCCTTGATGGAGCACATCCAGGAGGCTCTCCAGAACCTCATGGTGAGAAGAAACGTGGGGTCTAGAGCACCCAAGGGTGCCCCTAATGTCCCGCTGAGGTCCCCAACTCCATCCTGACCTCAGCATCAGCACCCCAGGGTCCCCAGCAGCACCCAAGGGCCCGTATCCTTGGTGGAGCATGTCCAGGAGGTTCTCCAGAACCTCCCGGCGAGCCGACCCGCGGCCTCCGGCTGCTCCACGAGCTCCGTGAGGAGGGCCGCGGGCGGTGGGGGCACCCATGGGTGGCGCTCACCGTGGCGCTGCGCTGCTCGTCGAAGTGGTGGCACTTCTGGAGCTCCTTGTAGAGCTCGCCGCGCGGCGCGTACTCCAGGATCAGGTAGACCCGCTTGCGGTCGTGGAAGTAGTTGTAGAGCCGCAGCACGTTGGGGTGCCTGGGGGGGGCAGGGTGACGGGGGGCACCCTAGGGACCCCTCCGGGCACCCAGAGAGTCACCAGAGATCCACTATGGACACCCAAAGACCCACCAGGAGCACCCAGGGACCCTCATGAGCACCCAGGGACCCCCCTGGGCGCCGAAAGAGCACCCATGAGCACCCAAAGAGCCTTCATGAGCACCCAGAGACCCCCACGGGCATCCAAAGAGCCCCTATGGGCACCCAAAGACACCCAAGAGCACCCAAAGATTTCCCAGATAGCCCCATGGGCACCCAAAAAGCACCCATGAGCAGCCAAAGATCCCCCAAGAGCACCCAGAAACCCCCCCAAGATAACCCCATGGGCACCCAAAGAGCACCCATGAGCACCTAGAGACCCTACTGGCACCCAATGACCCACCATGAGCACCCAAAGACCCCTCAGATGCCCCCATGGGCACCCAGAGACCTCCCAGAGACCCCCCCATGAGCACCCAGAGGCCTCCCCATGCACCCAGAGACCCTCCATAAGTACCTAAAGACCCCCCATGAGCACCCAGAGATCCCCAGGGGCACCCGAAGACCCCCATGGGCCTGGGGGCCCAAACTCTCCCCCAGGCGCCCCAGGGGGTCCCCAATGTCCTCAAGGTGTCCCAATGTCCCCCATCTCCCCATGGTGTCCCCATCTCCCCAGGGT